TCTGTCATCCCGGTCATGATCAAGCTTGAAAAAGTTCACTTTAGGCAACTGAAAATGAAGTTTTTCCAAGAAGAAATTGCATCCAAGAGACCTCTTCAGTTCTAACTAGTGGTGGGGAGCAGTGAGATCAATATACCGTATTGTAGGTATAACAAAGTTTTGGGGGGGGACTGGGTTGCAAAAGGAGTCTTTGATCCCTCCAACTGGATTGGCCAAGGAGGCCACCTAGAGTGTGTTAATGGTCGTTAGGGGGTCATTAACTCCCTTTGTTGGAGTGATTTCCGTCACATTCCTTATTGAAGTGTGAATGAAGTGAGGGCGGTGGGTGGTGAATATTCTGGATAACATTCCTATAGGTGAAAGGTTATGTCTAAAACCTCCTCCTCTGTTGAGAGATGGATTTTCCAGGTTAACAAAGATAGCTTCCTTAACCCCTCACTGTAACCATCCTTCTTCCTTGGCCAGAATATGGTTGCCGTGACCTTTAGCCTTCAGCTGTAGGAGAACAGGTGAGTCCTGTCTTGAGGAGTTGGCCCTCCTGTGTTGAGCCATGCTCCTGTTAACAGTTGCTTGCCCTCTCCAATGTAAAGGTCTTTGCACTCTTTACTACACTTAACGGCGTAAACCATGTTGTCAGTCTTGTTTCTTGGTTTCTTATCTTTGGGGTGAACCAGTTTTTTGTCTCAGGGTGTTGCCAGGTTGGATGAGCACAGGGATCCGTTGCTGGATGAAAATCCTGCTGAGTTTTTCAGAGACTCGAGCAGCATAGAGAATAACAATGTTCTGTTTTCTTCGCTCTTAGCAGGCTTAATATTTTTTTGTTTGGTTGTTTTTTTTAGAAAAGGCCTATCTGAGATAACAACAGTTCTTCAGGGATGTCTAATGTGTCCCTTATCCCTCATATTCCCTCTGTTGGTGGTGGGAATGGTTTCCACTCATGTCTGGAGGGTTCTGATGACGCCTAGTTTGTGTTCCAGTGGGTGGTTTGAGTCAAAACTGAGGTACTGGTTGGTGTGTGTGGGTTTCTATGTTGAGTTGTCTTTCTTCCATGATGTGAACCGTGCAGTCCAGGAAAGCAAGGCTTTTCTAAAGAAACAAAAAGAAGAGGTCTGCTAAGAAAGAAGAGACAGAAGAAGGAACACGTCATTCCCTATGTTGCTGGTATATTAGTATATTAATCACATTGCTCCACAACTAGTAAGACCTGAAGAAGCATCTTGGATGAGAGGCGAAACGTCTTCTAGTGGAAAACTTCATGTACAGATGCCTAAAGTGAACTTTTTCAAGCGCATTGAATATTGGATTGATATTGAAAAAGCATAAAAAACACAGCCTTTACTGTGATCATCCTTTTGATTTCCTGCTCTGAATCCAAGGAGAAATGTTTCTCACTTTTAAAAGTTAGCTACCTTTTAGTTTGTAACTGATGAGATATAATGTAGATTCTGATCAAATTAATGATAAAAAATAGGGTGCCACCTTTCTTTAAACAAAGGTTTACAATCAGATAAAACTATTTTAAAGAGGACCTCCCATTTTGGAATCAATTACCTTTTTTTTTTTTTCCATGAACTGATTTTCTGTCAGTCTGAAGAACTGATCTCTATTCACTGGATTCCTGATTGTCTGTTGGTAGTACAGGGTTGAAGTGAAGCCACCGGCCGCCATATTGGTACTCCCTTATTAGACCGGTCGCAATGTACAACAATACGTGGTCTACAGCATCTAACAACAATGATCTCATTTTCAGGGGGGGCTTAAAACTTTTAAAATAACAATAAATTCATCAAACAGACACCTGCTGTTTCATAGCATAAGTACAGTAGATTACTGTATACTATGTGTATATATACACACATATATACATATACACACATACACTTTATATGAATTTTTCCTTACGTTAGACATGTACATACATTGTTGATCAATGGATTTTCTTGTTTATTACATCCACTAACAGTAAAATTAGCTGTGAAACGTCTCTCTACAGCCAGCAAACTGCTTGTTTTTGCAGCCAAGTGCCACTGATGCACTCGATATTTAAGGGCTTAACGGTCCACTTGCCCTATCGACTACGCGGTTTGGCACTTAATGTGCGGACCCTCTGCAGAACGTCCAAACGGAGGGTAAGTGTTTAGGGGCCGTTTTTGGATCGAGTTCCTTCATGTTCTGGATGAATGAGTCCTGTTCTGATGCTTCTGAATGGAAATACAAAGGCCATAAAAGGTCCTTTCTATTCCCTGATGTTAAACTTGGTTACATGTCGGCAACTGAGAATAACTAACATGAGGAGTATTCAAGAACAAAGTTTTATTTGGTTCATAAAAGTTGTTCAAATCAATTATTTTGTTTTTGACAAAATAAAAACATGAACATGATTGTCACCGACTCCTGTGGTGTTATTTCTTTCAGCGCTGGTATTTCACTTTTCCCACTCAGACAAATGAAAACTCAAACCTCTTATCAAAATAGATTTTATTCTGCACTGAAGTTGTACTGATCTGAATTATATGATGACACAGATGGATGAGATTCAAGCTGCAAAAGAAGAAAAAAAAACAAAAAAAACAGAATGGTTCCTGGAGCCCCGACGGTTCCCAGGGGCGGCTGATCCTGAACCAGACCCAAAGCTGTCCCGGGGTTTCCACCTCATCAGAGATAGATAGCCCGGCTCAAAGTTGGGGTTTCACAACCTCAAATACAGTTAAGAAAAAAACAAAAACAAATCACACACAAGGCTTAAAATAAGGAATATGAAGAGTCTTCTCAAGTCCAGAGTTCTGTTTGGTTCTATTGGGGGATGTGGAGAAATAAACTGAAACGGCAGCGGTCTGATGGGGAGGGGCTTCTGGAGGCGGCTTTGTCCAGTGAAGCTGAGATTTTAGCATGAAACATATGAGTGATGGAAGAAAAAAAAAGCAGCTTAATTTAACCATTAAGGTTTGTTTTCCAGATTTTGAATATTTTATGTGAACTAAAGGCTGTCACCCAGATCAGCTCTGCATCCAGACCAGCATCTGTTCAGCTCGGGAGAATAAACTGTCCCCAGATCTGCTGCTTTGTGGAAAAATGACATTCATATCACATCAGAATCTTTTTTTAATGAAAAAATGTTTACAGGGTTAAATGAGGTATTATCTCTGGAACTCGTTTTAAACTCCAAAAGATTCAATGATCAGTTTCCCTCTGAAGTTCACAGCAGGAACATCACCTAGTTTTATTGTTTTTAATTTAAAATAACAAAGTGTTGCTTTAGTATGGACTTTAAAAGAGAATAAAGTAAAAGCTGAGCGGCATTTTGGTGATGAAAAACTAAGTGGAGGTGAGAGGAGCCAAAGGAGCTACGGTGGATTTGTTTCTACTTTTTTCGGAGTTGAACCGCTTTGCTTTCTGGGTGTTTTATGCTCCTCCTTTCTGAAAACTGCATGAACAGGGGCAAAACGCAGAGGTGGGCCTTATTTCAGCCGCGCTGCCATAACAAACACTTCATCTGCAGACAGTGGGTCAACCTCAGATCAGACATGCCTCCTCCTGATGCGACTTGATGCCGCCCGGGTCTACATCAGCACCTCCACTGCTACCTGTATAACATGGTGGTTTAGCGCCAACATGACAAGCTCTGCAGAAGAACCAACAGTTGCTGCACCAGAGAAGAGTCAGATTTATCATCTAAAAAAAACAAATGTGACTGTTTAAGGTTTAAAAAAAAAGAAGTTTTACTTCTAGTTTTGATTTCTCCATCAAACATCATTCAATGCCGTTACTTTCCTAAATCAGCTCTGAACTCGTCCACAAGCTACAGCTAAAATATTAGATGGGACAGCAGCGCCCTCTGCTGTTTGATCTGTAGCTGCAGTCAAAATGATCAATTTTCATAGAGGTTAGAAACAAAATCCACTTCAAAACTGTTGTTTTAAAATTTAGAAAGGGATTCTGGGCAATATTCAGAGCGAAAACTTCAAAGCATTAGGATAGAAAACATCTTTCAATTCTGACCCATTTTTCTTTTCTTTAAAGGGGAAAACAGGACAAAAAAAAAGCTTTAAATCCTGCACCGTGTTTAAAGCTCCTGAGTTAGTTTGGATCATAATCGAGTCGTTTTAGGATCATTAACGGTAGATTAAAACTCGACAGAGTTTATGGTCTGATAAACCAGCCTGGTCCAGATATCGACAACTGGTTCTTACAGAACCCACCAGGAATAATAAGAGAAGAATTTCTGCAGCTATGAAATCTGGAGGAAATGCTCAGATCTGGGTCTGATGGAACTGCTTTTTTTTTTGTTTTTTTTTTCGAAAACAAACTTAGTCAAACATCCTGAAAATCATCCATTGTCACAGAAAGGGTTTCAGCACAGAAATCCCAGAATTCTGGGAATGGATAAGAAAGCAGAATATGAGCTGATCTGAGATCTGATCTGCAGCAGTGGAGCTGAAAACGGTTTTATTAACAATAACGTTTTTACCGTCACCTTTCTGAAGCGGAGATGGAGATCTCCCATTAAACAGAAAGCTTTTCATGTTAAAACTGAAGGTTTTAATGGATCTGACCTAAATGTGACAAAAAATAAATCTAAAATAAAAATAAAACCTATTGGGTTAAAACACGATGTATGAACATTTCCATTTGTTTAGAGATAAAGTGGTTCCAGGTTCCACTGGAAGCGTGACTCCGGTTAGCATTAGCATGAACTGAACCCCAGGAGAGCATGTAGGGCTTCAGCTCACCTTCTTTACTGAAACCCGTTAAAGCGACAAACTGCAGGCGGCTGGATGTGATTTCTAAAGCCAACCTTTGCCAGGAGCCCATCAAACCGCATCGTTCTGCGCTCGGCGGCGTGTTCCCTCTGAACGGTTACAGGTGAGTCCTGGCAGAGGGAACCGATCACTTTTCATATATAAAGCTGGAAACATGACAGCAGGTGGAAGTAAAAAAAACAAGCAAAGGTGAAGAAATGGAGCTCCAGGCTGAATCCAGGTTCAAATGAGAACAAACCTTCAGAGTGGACAGGCAGGGTTTATTCTGTAGCAGAAAGCCAAATATAATTTTTTTTTTGGGGGGGTGGTTAATCTGTTATTTGCCCATGTGGATGCATCAGAGGAAATCCTGGGGATGCACTTCTCCCTTTGCCCCTCCCATAAGATAAAAAATATAAAGACGTTAAAAGGAGAGATCTGAAATCCAAAAAAACAAACTAAGTGCCATTCCATCCTGTGGTGAGGGAGCCGATATGTCCGCACAAAAAGATCTGACTAGTAACATTGATCAACACTTTGTCATTGTTTTACATTTGATGACGATGAGAATGGTTCAAACAGCTTCCATATTTTGGTAAATATACGGATCTGTCGCTTTTTTTTTTTTTTTTTTTGCCCCCTTCTGCTTCTCTCTGAGAGTCTGCATGGACAGAAGGGGGCGCCATCATCCCAACGTTCCTCAATCTGTCCATCTGTCAGTTTTATTCCCTCCACGTCTGGACCTGCTGTGTCGGGTACTTGCTTCCTGTTCCTGTATCCTGCTTCCTGTCTGTCGGTGGGCGGGGCCTAAGCGTGAGCAGTACGCAGGGCAGGCAGGGACAGTCATTTGGCTATGTACACATTCATGGTCGGTCCATGGCTTCCAACGAACAGCAGCACTATTTCCGCAGGTCTAATACGCACACCTGCAGTGGGGGAACAGGAGGAGACAGTGTGAGGTCGCCGTGGCAACAGCAGTAAACAACAAACAGTGCCGGGGGTGCTTACAGAGCCGTCCGACGCGCTGGCTCCCACTTTGTCTCCCGCTGCGTTCCAACACACCTCGAAGATCCCGCCGGTCCCTCTGTAGCTGTGCACCAGCGCCCCCGTCTGCAGGGAGACGGTACCGCATGACAACGGGCCGAGCTTTCTCTCAGCTCTAAGAGCAGTTTTCTTCTCACCTGTGTGTTCCAGATGTGCACACATTTGTCAAACGAGCCGCTGGCCAGATGGCGTCCGTCTGGGCTGAAAGCCACGCTGTACACCGGCTCCTGGTGTTTGGTCAGCGTGTGGATACAGATGCCCCGGTCCACGTCCCAGAGGCGCACCGTGGAGTCAAACGACGCGCTGTGGAGACGGCAGAACCATCCAGTCAGAAAAAAGAAGCCTTTTTTAGCTCCCTGTTCAGAGCTCGAATCAAACCAAGGGCTGAACAGCGAGCAGGAGGTGGGCGACATGGAGACAAACCCACTCTGACCCACAGAGCTCTGACACGCACCTGGCTAGCATGAGGTTAGCGCTGGGATTGTTGGTTCCTGGTCCAGTTGGACTCCATTTAATGGTGTAGATTTCTTTGCTGTGGGCCTGCAGGTCATGGATGCACGAGTCCTGCTTCATACTCCAGATCTGCAGACAGAACGAAAACAGAAGTCACCCTCAGAGGGAAACCGTCTCATTCAACCGGCTGTGAGACCAGGAGACGAGCTAACAGCATGAGCACATTGTGATGTCATTAGAGGATGAAAACAGAAAAAAAAAAAAACACATTATTAATCTAATTACTTAAATAATTTTTAGTAATCTAATTAAGTTTTACTCTAGTACAAACGATCTCAAATATTTTATCCTCTGACCCCAAAAGTAGAACAGCAACAGACTGGAGAGCCCTGAAAATACACAGAACTACTTCACTCTAGATTCATTTATGAATAGAAAGTGAAATTTACTTTGAAGTCTGATTACCAAGGTGAAGACAGGAAATGCTAAGTGGTTGCCAAGGTAATGACAGCTGGAAATCAGAAGGAGCTGATTTCAAAGCAGTGCATTCTGACTAAATCCATTTAACAAACTGATGGAAACGGCGTGTAATGTAAACGATGACCTGTACTCCATGTTTGTGCTGCAAACGTCTGGACCACGCCTGCTGGTAGGGCTAGAAGCTCTGAAATGGTGCGCTAACAAATCATCTAATATGTCTTTAATTTAAATAAGAAAAAGGGAGTCATATTTTTTTTGTTATTCTAATTTAATAAAAACAGAAACTAAAACAGCAATTCATTTGATTTATTTTGAACAAATACACTAAATAGCAGACCCTTCACTGCTCTGGTTTCCAGAAGGAATGATGTGACTGATAGGATGCTGAGAGAAATGTTTCTATAACAAAGTCCCCTTTGATGTTAGTTCTTTGCTAAATATTAGGTTAATTCCTTAAAGTCGTAGGGAAACGGCCGTTCCAAACGTTGCTTTTCCGAATTGTCCCGAGTGGTTCAGACTTTACACTAGGGCTGCAACTGACGATTACTTTGAAAATCGATGAATCGGCCGATTATTTTTTCGATTAATCAATGAATCGGACACAAAATATTTTTTTTATATTAACCTCTTCGTTCCAAAATAAACATTTTAGACAGAACAAACAAGCACACAAGTACAGGTTTCTCATTAACTGTACTGGTGCAATATGAAAAATAAATGTTTGTGTTAAAACTACGCAAACTTACATGAGAAATGTAGCTGTACATCCACAAAATATAGGCTACTTTGTTTCATACAGCGCAAAAAGAGACAGGCATTTTTGTTTTTTAAAAGCCTCTAAGGGGTTCAAACAATAGGCCCCCCCATTTCAACAAATGAGTTTTTTTTAGACTAGAAGAGTTCTGCCTTTTAAGACAGGAAAGTATAGCAGTTAAAGTTGCTACTTGAGAAAATACTGAACCATAGAGATAAAAATAGCCCTGTGATTCAAATTATAAATTGTATTTGGAATAAAAATGAGAGAACTAGAGGTGCTAAAAAACACATCCTCCAAAGACAGATATTTACATGGAAATGTGGCATATAATTAATTGACATATTACTGATCTTGCTGGATTTTATTCTGCTTTACTTCCATAAATTGCAGGATCTTCTTTACTTTATCTTTGCCAGATTTAAACTTTAAAAGCCTTGCCCTCATAATTTGCAAATTAATTTATTTATAAAGAAAATATAAACGCTGCTTAAGCTAATTCAAATGAAATTAAAAGTAAAATAAGAAGCCAACCTTATCACTGTCTGTAACCTACTAACACGGTAAGGAAAGCTTCAGATGAGCTACCTGAGAAACTAACGTTACGTTTCCCCACTTTAAAACCAAACAAACATGGTGGTTCATCCTGCTCATCAGCTCTCTTCACTGCCATCGAAGGCTCCAGCATGTTTTCTTTTCAGGTGCTGCGTCATAACAGTGGTGCTTCCGTGCCATGTTCATTTGTTTTTACAAATGTTGCATGTTACGACTTTTTTCACTTTACAAAGCGCAGGCTATTTTAATTATTGTGATCAATTTGCGCCGTCAATCCCGGGGCATGCGCGCTTCATTTGCAGTCTGGACGCTGAGGGTAAACTCCTCACTAAAATCCTGCGGCTCTGACTGCAGCGCTGAGAGGGATTCCTGTGGGAGAGGGAGAAAGGGGTTGGGATGGGGGAGGCGCCCCACGGCAGCAGCTGCCGCTGGAAGACAAGAGTAGGAACGATACATGCTTTCACGTAAGAGTCTCCAAAAGCCGCCAGTGACACCGTAAAAAGTCGCCAGATTTGTCGCTAGTCGCTTTTTAAAAAAATAGTCGCTGGAGGGGTCTGAAAAGTCGCTGAGTTGGCAACACTGCAACTGCGGCGCTGACTCGCTCCGCCATATTATTTTTTTCTTCCCCGGGATGACGGCGGCGGCAGATGACGCATTAATCGCGCGACACAACTAATCGATGATTAAATTCGTTGCCAACGCTTTTAAAAGTCGATTTTTATGATTTTATCGATTCGTTGTTGCAGCCCTACTTTACACGAGTGAATAAAGTGAATGTGATTGGTCGATTATCAAGGGGCGGGATTGTTGTGGCTGAAGGATCGCAGCCTTTGGTTGTGCCAGTTTCTCGGAAGCATCTTGCTAACCAGTTAGCAACTTAGTGCTAGTAGGTTCCCAATGGGAAATTCCATTGGGACCAAGTAGCACTAAATTGGTGACATAGAAACGACGCTGTCAAGGAACGCTATGGACAGCAGAAACATGCAAGAGGAGGAGAGTTTAGTGTCGGAGGTCGTGGATGAGTCTCTTCCGTCATCCATTTTTAGAGGACGCCAGGGCGGCAGAAGCTTGGTTTGGTGTAGAAGGCTTACAGCCGTACATGTTTGAGCCCTTGCCTCGCAACGCTGCCAGTTCTGTTAGCTCTACGCCTGCTGAAGACACAGACGTCCATCCCCGTGAACACTGGGACGGAACTCAATGGGAAAGGAAATGATTCTCATTTCTTATTTCAACCGTTGCGTATATTTAGGGTTTATACAGGAAGGACAAACTCTAACTTAATGCTCTTTTAATGCTCTTAGATATAATTTTAATGCCATTAATAAGTACCCATTACTCTCTCTTTATATATATATATATATAAACACGGCCAAATCCTTCATAATCTTTACCATCGACAGGCTGCAGCCATGTCCCGAATTTTTCGTTTTCCAGCCACTTATGTTAAAATTTGCATTTTCCCATTTTCTAGCCTTTTCTCGGCCTCGAGCTTCTGTTACCAACATATGGCTTCAGGATCAAACAGGAGCAGTTCCACGCAAACATGTGGAACCAGTTAAATCTGATATTTGACAACATTTTTTTAAATTCTTTATTAAGGATTTTAAATGCCATGATAATCACATTCAATGAATTTTAATGCCAATTAAGGCCTTAATTTAAAAAAGAATAAATTGATGACTTTTAAATGATTTTTAATGAACCGCAGAAACCCTGATATTGGCTGCGACATATGAATCAAGATGCTATGACCGACAAAAATTTGATTGACAGATGACCGTTGATATATGATTGGCCGAATTTAGGTGTTCAGGCTGACGTAGAACTAACTGGCCTGCATAAGATAACGAAGAATAAAGAACACAGATTTTAAGACAGAATTTTTTTAGGGAAATTTTCTAACTTTTGGGTCAATATCGTTTGAAAAAGAGTACATTTATATACACGTTTAAGCCAGAATGATTTGACATTTAAATATGATTTCCCTACGAATTTAAACATACGATTTTTTTTCTCTAACCGATTAGAAAGCAGAGTTATTGGCTTCTCTGAATAATTCACAATGGACTACAAATGAGCATAAAAAGCAGTTAGCACACTTAATGTGGATTGAAAAGGAAAAGCCTTACCTTCAGCGTCATATCGTCGGAGCAGGATGCCAGCAGGTTCCCCGTCGGGTCCCACTTGATTGCATTAACTTCATTCTGCAGGGAGACAGACAGACAGACTGGCTCGTCATCGGCTGATCAACGACAGGAAGGAGAGCGTTTCTCTGCGCATCACTCACCGAGTGTCCCTGGAATGTCTTAATGGGCCGGTCCTGTCCCAGTTTACAGACGTGGATGCACATGTCTGTACTACAGGAAGCAAACGTATTGTTGCTCTGCCAGTCCACGTCCAGAGCAGGAGCTGTGGGAGACAGTCAGCAGGCTGAGTTCAGAAACCGGCCGGATGAGTGAGTGGGATACAGAAGAGCCTGGTATACCTGAGTGGAAGGGGAACTGTTGTTTGGCCTCTCCTGTGTGAGCGTCCCAGATGATTGTGGTCTGCAGGATTGAATGATGACGTTAACCTCTGCTGACTGTTCAAACTCAAACTCAAAGAGCTGATGTGTGGCTTACCTTGTCTACTCCTGCACTCAGAATAAAATTGCCTTTTTTGTTCCACTTAAGGGCGAAAATGGGACCTTTGTGTTGTCCCAGAGTACTGGCCAGATTACCTGTAGAGGACAGAAACTTTTTATGAGCCTAAAAGAAAAATCTGGAGCATTTCAGAATCCTGCCAGTAGATGGCAGCAGAGCACAGCCTGCGATGAGGAGAATTATCACGGCATTAAAGGAGCATCAAAATAAAAACAACTAAAGTTTGGGCTGATTTTATCATGAGCTCCAAAACAAGAATATTTTCCTTTCATGAGGCATCTCACCATCTTTGGTCCATATTCTGGCGAAGCCGTCATATGAGCCAGTAGCCAACAGCGTGCCCTCACTCTGCAGGGGAACAAAGAGGGAGATTATTGATAGAAGCCAGCATGGCCGCCACCTTGATGACTGTAAAAACAACAAACAACTGTACGTCAACACAACTAATACCGGGTTACCGCGGTAACCCACCAGCTCGATTACTGCTCTGTGTGCGTCTCTGATGAGCTGCTGCAGTGTCTGGTCTCTAATCTCTTTGATGGAAATAAAGAAACTAAACAAAAATAAAGAGAAAAGATGGAGGCTTGGAGAACAGAGATTCTAAACCCTTATTGTGTTTGTTTGTTTGTTCAGGTGGAGCAATCAGATAAGTGTTGGCAGCGGCCTTTCTCCAGTGTTAGTCTCTAATAAGCTCCATCCATCCTCTAATGGAACGACCCGTTTCTGACCGGGTTCTGACCCGGTTCCATTTCCCTCTGTTTCTTGCTGCTCTGTATGTTTTTCCATGCAGTCCAAAGGTCATTAGTGCTGCTTTGCCGTCTTGTCTGTACTGGTTAACCTTTCCCAGCCTTTTCTATAATCTTCTTTTTTCTACACAAAGGTCAGTTTTACAGAGAGAACCGGAACCTTTTTTTGCTGCATCAGAGTCTCCAACCTGAGCAGAACCGCTTCAGATTTAATCTGTTCTGCCTTCTTGGTTGAAATGGATCTTGCTTCCTAACCAGCCAGGCTGACTGGCTCAGACTCTCTGCTCTAAGACAGTCCTGGAAGAGGGGGTCCACCCTTGTGCTAGAATTACCCATAATGCAACAGTTCTTCCTTGTGATGATAACAGTCAGATTACAGCTACAGTGCAGTTATGTTTTAATGAAGGTATCCTAAATGATGAGCTGGATGTTTCTAAGATTTTAGCAACTGGCTGCTGGAAGAACTTTTCTTTTCTATCTTCTTTAAAAAACGTTTTAAAGTCACATCCACTGTTATTTTTTTGAGCAGTAAAAAAATGTTTTTCCATCATAACAGAATATATTGTTCTGTTTAATGATATATATACATTATATATTATAACGATAACAGAAGCAACTTCTTTCAGTGTTGTAATGTAATTGCCATCCTCTAGAGCAGGGGTCACCAACGCGGTGCTCGTGGGCACCAAGGGGCCCTAAGGGACCACATGGAGTGTCCACACCGTCTACTGAAACTTCATTTCATTCTGTCGCACTTCATTTTTTTAATCATTTATGGAGGATTTCATCATATTATTCATAAATAGCTTGTTCGCCGTCTACAACCCCTAATCCAACGCCGGACGACACACAGTTCACCCGTAAGAGTGCAAACGGGTGCAAACCAACAGACCGTTGCACAGGGCTACAAACTAGCGTCCTGTACGGTTTCTGAGATAGTGTCCGAGGTATGCAAGGCGTTGTGGATGGCACTACAGCAAGAGTTTCTACCATTAGGTACATTAGGAAACACAAATGGCGTAGAGCGGATGTAGAATTGACCAATCAGAGGCCTCCTTTCTGTGGCCCTGTCTGTGGTCTGCCTTTGACATTGGGCTCTACCCGCACCTGTTCAGGCTGGCTGCCCGGGTTTGGACCCTGAAACTTCTGCATACTGTTAGTGTGTGGGCTTACATTCCAGTCCAGTGAGGTGACGTCTTTGTTGCTGGGGACGTCCTGTCCTCCTTCTCTGATGCAGTGCCTCAGCACCAGCTGTGTGGAGCTGCTTGTACTGTTCTCACTCAGGTTCCAAATACGAGCCGTGGAATCCCCAGACCTACAGGGAACCAGAAAAGATCAGGATTTCAACCTACGGCAGCTGTTGGAGCAGAGGGACCCGCTTAGGAGACGGCCACTCACCCAGAGGCCAGCAGGTCGCTCACTGGGTTCCAGGCACAAATAAAGACCTCCGACTCGTGACCTCTGAGGACCATGGCCTTGTTCTGAGGGATCTCCACATCGCCGTCCACTTCCATCAGATCTGAGTGGTTGTCTAAGGACACAGTTGGACGTATCAGACACACGATTTAGTTAGTCAGCCAGGATTTTAATGTTTTTAGAAAAAAATCAAAATGTTATTTTTGTTTAGGAACCATCATATAGCCTCGGTCGGCTATAACCTCCATAACTGGCATCTCCCTCACTTGCTAAGGCATGGGCTCCGTTCTCCTCGCCGTTGGCAGTGTTCTCTCCGTTCTTGGCGTTCCCAGTAATGCTGCCGCCTGCAGCCGATGTTGGTGCTGAAGCTGCCGCCTGCTGCTGGGCCATTTTGTCCCGGTAAGCCTGCTGCCTCGTCTGGACCACGTCTGGCATCACCGCATCGATGAGGGACAGAGACTCGATCGGCCGTCCATCGAATAACGTGCCGTCCTGCAGAGCGAGAGGAGGGACAAACAGTTATGGTAAGAGACACTCTTTGAGCCAAGATGAGACTAACTGAATAACTGTTCCCACCTCGTTGATGCTGACTTCAGCCTCCACATACTGCAGGCCTTTCTGGATGATGCTGATGAGGGCAGCAGGGGGCACCAGAGCTCCGTTGATGTTGGACTGACTGATGTGGCTCTCTATACCAAATGTAAACGCAGAGTGGGAGAACCCTGACAAAGAGACATGGAAAAGAGGTGTTTAACAACGTTGCTATGGAAACAACAGACCCCACAGACTACATGTTACTTCACCTTTTTCTTTTGTTTGTTTCTTTTTAAACCTCCTAATCCAGACTTTGATCAGGCATCATAAAAACTAAACCAAACATAACATTTAGAAATATAAACATAACATCGCATCCCTTTTTTTATTGCATCATTCACATCATTATTGGACACAACGTACACAGGGTTTAAACAGGAATGAAATGAGCATTTTCTCATTCTCTAGCTTTCTCTCCGCCTCGAGCTTCAAGTTCTATCTGATATATCTAACGAGAATTGTTGAAAAGTTTTTTTTTTTTTTTTATAAAAATTTAAATGCCACGATAATCCTGTTTAATGAAAGGTAATGCCAATTAAGACCTTAATTAAAGAAATTATAATTTAATGACTTTTAATGATTTTTAATGACCTGCGGAAACCCTGCTACAGATTTAGATTTACAACTTACTTTACAACTAAAACTCATTATCCAGAACTTTAAAATCAAATCTAAAGTTGAAACAATTGATCAGAATGATGGATTATTTAAATAGTCATAAAGTGATGTGGGAATTGAATGAGCTGGACTAAAGACTAGGGTTGTCGAAAGTATCGATACTCAAAAAAGTATCGATACTGAAACGTTGTATCCGGATACATTACTCATTTTCAAAAGTATCGATACAGCCATCTAAAGTGCAGAATAGAGGAAAATGCACTTTCTGAACACTGTGTGATTGAATAATTCTGTGCATTTTGCAGTTTTAGACAATAAGACTTTTTTTTTCTTATTGTTGTTTTTTTTATTTCTTGTATTTTTTTTAGTAATGAAAATATTTCTGTTGAATTTTAGAGTCTTTGTTTTTATTCTTGTGGTATCGAAAAGGGTATTGAGTATCGAATATTTTCCTTAGTATCGGTATCGAGTTGAAAAGTTTAGTATCGTGACAACCCTACTAAAGACACATAACACAGCAACAATTCAATCAAAGCTGCACAAAACATATACCATATTTTTCGTACTATAGGTCACATCTACGGAAGACGATTAGGGCCACTGAAGAAAAAAAAAAAAAGTTAACTGATTTTTTTAATGTTATTTCAGTATAGTATGGGAAAAATGTCAGAATTCTGACTTTAATGTCAGAATTCTGAGAAAAATGTCAGAATTCTGACTTTAATCTCAGAATTCTGAGATTAAACTGAAATAAAATTTAAAAATCAGTTAACTTTTTTTTTTTCACTGGCCCTAATCCTCTTCCGTACACATCAGCCAAAAAATGCATTATGAAAAGTAAAAAAAAAACACGTACTCGCACTGGACTATAAGTCCCACCTTTTTGAAAGGTTAATCTATCCATGGAATCCGTGTTCTGATAACTGACTCGTAGTAGGCTACTGCTCGAAGAGCACATTGTTTTATTTCATGAACGAGCGTCTGAGAAGCAGCTACAGGGTTTATACAGGAACGAGTAACTGTAAAGCTTTTTAATTCTCTCTTAATGCTCCTGGAAATAATTTTAAATCCATCAACAAGTACCATAATAGGGCAATATTATTTGTAATCTTTACCGTCGACAGGCCGCAGCCATGTCCCAAATTCCTCGTTTTCCAGCCAATGCATTTTCGCATTCTCTAGCTTTTTCGCCTCAAGCTTCTTTTCCGAACATACGGCTTTACGATCAAGTGGAAGCAGTTCTGCACAACGGAACGAGTTATATCTGCTATATCTGACGAAAGTGTTTGATGCATAAATGTATATATATTATTTTTAAATAAAGCATTTTAAATGCCACTATAATTACATTTAATTACTTTTAATGCAAATTAAGACCTTTATTCAAAAAATAATAAAGTAATGACTTTTAATTATGTTTAATGACCCATAGAAACGTTGAGTTATAACATGGCAGTGGCCCTCTCGCCTACTCTGGTCGTTTTGACTATCACCACTACTATCATTAATACTATCACTACAGTTTGCTGGCGAAAGTTTCAAAGTCATCCAGGTCATAGTCATTGAAAAAAAAATTAAAAACAATCCACTGGACTTTGTTTCCAAGTTCGGAGATGTTTCGCTTCTCATCCAAGAAGCTTTTTCAATTCAAAATGTCAGGAATAACGTTGAGTTCGAGGTTTTATACAGGAGCCAAACAAAGCCTTGTTTTTGTTTTGAAAACATGCAAATTGGAACAGAAGAAGGGGTCCACCCCTTTGGAATGGGGCTCATTTGGCTTCTTTTGTTAGACTTCAATGCCCCATACCTGTCTAAGTGTCTGAAAGGTCGGTCGTTAAAGGGGATTTTCGGACTGGCTGAATAGACGTGTTCCTCCCCTCTCCTGTACAGCGGCTGGGGTTGCAATGATAACGGGAAGGGATTTTTCAATAGCTGCATTGTAACTGTTTAAGGTTGGTTTTTCTTGAACATAAATGGCTTCCTTCAGGCCCCTCTCAAACCACCTATTTTCTTTACCCAAAATGTGAACATCTGGTCCTCAAAATAATGTCCTTTTTCCATAAGGAGTAGACATTCAACAGATTCTTGTCCAGAGGAGGAAGCTCTTCTGTATTAGGCCATGCGTTTCACTACCGTTATAGGCGTACATATAAAAGGGCTAACTGCCTTATTGCCATTTTCAACTGCATATTTAATTACTTTCAGCTTAAATTCAGCAGTATATACATTTCTTTTGGGTGGCATATTTATATTCAGTCGAAGTTGTAATGCTAACTTGTTTTATTGTGGTAAGTTGTAACAGTTTTTTCTTTCAGGGGTATTAATAGAATACATGTTGCTTGCAAAGCTACACAGGGCCCTCTCGTGGAGAGAAAAGAAAAGTTTATATTTCACAAGAGTATAAGTCGCATGGCCAGCCGAAAAATGGAAAAATTGCGACAGAAAAATACAGTAAATCTTTTCAATTCAACACAAAGAATAAACCATCTCTGTCTGTAAATATGCGTTATCCAGAACAACGGCACCACCTCCACTTTCATTATTTAAAGGTATACTATGCAACCGGTGTTGATTTTCCAGCGAGGCTCCCCCCAGAGGGCGAAAGTAAAAGTGCACTGTCGTAAATATGCTCAGCTGTTCTCCTGGTTTCTCCGTTAAGCCAGGTGCGGTTGTTTTGAGCTTAGCAGACAGGCGAACGCAACGAATCACCATTTCTACTGCGGTAAGGAACTATTTTGTTCCAATTTTCGAGTTTGAAAATTCTCGCTAGTTCCGCCATGATAACTGCACAAATATCGCCACTGCGCTAGCAACGGGCATGCCTTTCACTGGGGGCGTGTAGCAGTTCTCGCCGTAAAGCAAGACCGACTCTCGCGATGCACGAGACTTCTGAGCCTGTGGGTGCGGGCCGAGGGCTCCTGCAATTGCAAGTACGGTATTTCCCCTACAGACCACCAGGGCGGCCGAGAAAACCTTTGTTCGACCTGAAATGACTCATTTAATCATCCAAAACGTTATGGAACACATTAATTAAGTGAAAAATGTTGCATAGTGTGCCTTTAATTGATCATTAAATAATGTTTATTTAGTTATATAGTTAAGGACTTTACAATTAAATAGAATATTTCATACAACATAATGATACAAATAAAGTAGTAGCTATTCAAAATGTACCCACTTCACTTGAACCTTGGCTGGTCTCCTACAATTCCTTTTTTAAACACCTAAAATAATTTTTCTGTCAAGATTTGTGGACATTAAGATCTAAAGAGAAGCGACATCTCCTGGTCAGACCCTGGAATTCAGTGAAAGGGAGGAGTCACAGTAAAATACTATGCAGAGGATGAGAAGGCCAGTGGCTGGAAGTTGGAGGGAATTTTGCTGCCATTCAGCTGGCTTTTGACTGGGAACAGCCATTTTGAATGACTGCTACTCTAATGTTACATCTGCTTTTTTTATGGTGAATTTTTTTTATCCATTTGGTCCTTGGGACATTTACCTGTATGTATTATTATTTTTTTTGCTACATTTCTGAATCAAAATCAGAGATGTAACAATCCAAATTTTTCCTGATTTTATCGGCTGATCTCCGATACGATCCGATTCAATTGATGAATGATTGAATCATATATCTTGGCATGTGAGTGAAGGCTTTAGCTTTGACATAAACAGGAATAAATTAAAAAATTTTAAAATACAGTTTATGTCTTCAGCTACAGCTCAGACCACCAGCTGTTACCGTCTCAGACTCTCCCTCCACCGTCTCTCTCTAAGACAATCCTGCAAGTTCTTAAGATTCTGAGGCCCCGTCCACATGAAGTCAAAACGAACACGAAACGCTGATATTTTCCAAAACGTTTGCCGTAAAGACGGAGACGTAAAATAAATGTGATCGTCCACACGAATGCATGAAAACGCTGCAAAATGTATGCCAGGCCTGTAAGTGGCGCTGTGGTGCCAAAGCAATAATAAGCGACGAAATGTTGGGCATGCGCACTAATATTTATACATGGTTGCCCTGCGGGTCCATTTTCGTGGTTCAGTCAAATTCAGGTGCTGAACTATGTCGTCGATATTGCTCTGTTCTTCCTGGAGATATTCCAGAAGAAGAAGATTCTGTTGTAAGCCCGACAGCAGGGTGAGTAGCATTAGCAGCAACCATTCAACACAGTACGGCGCCATTGTTGTTGTGATGTGTCGCGCATGCGTGTTTAGAGGCGACGCTATGACGCATGCGTGTAAAAAAAAAAAAATGCAGTTAGAGCTTAAAGATGGAAACGCAAAAAAACGGTGTTTCGAAATCTTCCCACTCTGAAGGCTGAATAAAAAAAAAGATCGTTTACAGACCCCCGAAACGCCTGCTTCGTATGGATGAGAGGCTGGTTTGGTGAAAAATTTGTGCGTTTAGGCCAGGGTTTGGCTTCGTGTGGACGGGGCCTAAAGTTGGTGAATATAAAAACTATATCAGTTCTACAAACTTTGACCCATTTTTAGGTACAATGAAACATCCATCCTGCTGGACACTGAACGTAGCTGAGCAGGAGAAAGTCAGGCCAGCTTAACGACTGGTGGATCATTAGTATCAACTGAGAAGCAAACACATGGAATCTAGTTAGATTTAATTAGGTGGAAACAGATGGTTTGTTTCAGACGTTTAAAAGGAAATAAAATCAAATCTCTAAAAATGAGATAAAAAGCTGAGACACTAAACAGCAACTCAGAGCCTCAGCCTTCGTTCGGCTCCGTTAAAGCTTGTTTATGGTTTCATTCCCAGCCCACATCGACTCCGTTTGCTAAACAAATAGTTCTTCATGTTCACCTTCAAGAATGTTCTGTGAAATAATATGTTCACTGAAGGTGTGATCAGCTGCTTGTGCAAATAATGAATTAAAAGTGACAAAAGAGATTAAGTCTGAGTAAAACCACAGAAGATGGAAACAAAGACCTGCTGAGAAAGAAAGCTTTTCTTTTTAAACGGCTAAAGGATAAAAGCCTGAGGGAAGAGGGGGAGGATACCTGATTCCTGTAGGTATCTGTAGACCAGGAAGTTGACCTCATCACTGCTAATGCTCATCTTTAATCCTGTTACACCATGAGGTCAGCACGCACACTCCTAGCCTGAAACACAGAGAGAGGATCATCAAAGGCAAGAAAATAAGCAAACATCACAGAACCATAGAAAATGTGTTAGGAATAAATTCATCCAGCTTATGAAATAATCACATGTTAAAACAATACATACTAGCTGTGGCTACGGCCTGCTAGCTTCACCGCACCATCAAATAGGAGGAGCTTCTATCTGCTCATTGGTTCAACTCAACAAGGCGGACCTGGATTTTACTGAGCGAGTCACAGAGCTTAGCAGATACAGGGTTTAGACAGGAATGAGTAACTTTAATGCTTTTTTAATGCTCTTAGAAATAATTTTAATGCCATCAACAAGTACCCATGATTCTCATATATATATATATATATATATATATATATATATATATATATATATATATATATATATATATATATATATATATATATATATATATATATATATGTTAGGGATGGAACGGTTCATAAAATCCACGGTACGGTTCGATTCACGGTTTCGTGGTCACGGTTTTTGGTTCGGTTCGATTCGGTATATGTTGATTGTTACACCGAAATCCCATAAAAATGTATGAAATTAATGAAAAATCCCCCCAAAAATAATGGATTGTAATTATTTTAAATGATCCGCGGAAACCCTGGATCATTTCCGTATGTTTTGCTGCTTTGAATTTAATCATCTGGCGCATGCCCTCTACGATCTCCAAGGAACTCAGAGCGGAGCGGACGGGAGCCACAGTGGAGGCTGTAGACTTTGCTTTGTGCAGGCGGTCTGGAGCACAGCGGGGCGGAGCGCTGACAGAGTATGTGGGATTTCGGGGTTAGCATGACATGTTGGTCATGTTGCTGTTAGCATAAACAAAAGGTGTTGCACAATGCTTGCACACTGTTGCACTTTTATCCACAACTTTCTTTCCGTCGTCATCGTAGGTCACTCTAAATGCAAAGTGGTCCCATACAGCAGACCTATAAAGTGCTGCTGGCGCGTCTTCCAACTCCTGTTCTTTCCCACTCGCCATACCCACACAATTCCCCACAACAACTGATTTTTTTCTGCTACGCTGCTTCGCTTCTTCTTCTTGTTTACTATTGGAGGTTGGCTTTGGTCGCAGTACCGCCACCTTCTGCTCTGGAGTGTAAACGCTTCCCCTATGAGAAAAAGGAGCAGCGCATGAACCGAACGCAACACACGCGAACCGAACCGAGACAGTTTTCATAAACCATGCCATCCCTAATAGATATATATATATAAATTATAAATAATGGCAAATATAAATTTTCCTCATTCCTCATTCTCTAGTTTTTTTCCCGCCTCGAGCTTCTTTTCCGAACATACGGCTTTAGCAGGGTTCCTACAGCATAAGGCAAGTTAGATTTAAGACTTTTTAATGCCCCTTGAAATAAAAATTTAAGACCAAATTCACAAGAAACACAAGAAAAACCCGCTTGCGACAACTTAACCCAAAGGTTTATTTTAACATAAACCACTGCACTAATGTTTCAAATGTTGAAAAGCTTCCCATACAGGAAGAAAGCTAAAAACACACAAATGACAGATATATTTTAACAATTATTTAACTGAATTCACAAACTTTGTTTTAGCAGGGAACAAAACAAATCAGTTTTAAATCCACAACATCACCAGTGCTAAGTCTTTTTTACAGCTATTTTTCTTTGTATGGTTTTCTTAGTATGTTTGATTTGGTGATAAGTGGAGGCGTTGCAGAGACAAGGGTGGAACTAAACTGAGAAATACCGGCTGTTTCTCTGTAACTCCATTTTGACGATTTGTGTTTCGTGCTTCGCAATTCGCATGTGCGACTCCACTGCCTTAATTCCCATCGTTCCGAGCTTGAAAGACTTCTTGTTCCCTGGTACTGGTTTTAGCCATGGAGAAAACTCTTGGCTGGAGACAATTCTGGTTACATTTACAGTTGCTCATATTTTTCAGACAAAAAGTTAATGGTGCATCTCCCAAATGTCCCGGCCGCAACAACGCTTTTATTGGTTTCGCTATCGGGACGGAAGCAATAATGGCGAGCCATTTATTTTTATTTTTTTATTTTAAAAAAAATTAATTAATTAATTTTAACATTTTATTTATATTACAAAAATAAATCGTAATAAAAATTATCCTATTTATGATGTTTTAAAAATTAAGACCTACGAAAGACTGATTTAAGACATTTTAATACCAATTAAGGCCTTAGTTTCTTTTTGAAGAATTCAATGCCTTTTAAGACTTTTTAAGGACCCGCGGGAACCCTGTTTACGATCAACCGGAAGCAGTTCCGTGCAAACATGTGGAACCAATTATGTCTGACGAAATTGTTTTTATTACCGTTATTTCATTTATTAAATGCCACGATAATCACATTTCATAAATTCTGATGCCAATTAAGGTCTTAATCTAAAAAATAATAATTGAATGACTTTTAGTGATTTTTAATGACCTGCGGAAACCCTTAGGTCACCCTTGGAAAACTTGCGTAACCCATCAAAACCTACAAAAAAGTCTTCGAGCCATGGTCCAACATTACACAGAATTCTGCATCTCTTTCACAGGATAATAAAGCAGCAGATGCTGATCTTTGATCTGTCTGTCAGGACAGTAGAGGAGAAAAAGGTTCCGCCTCTCTGACATGCTGGCTCTTTGTTTGCTGTAGCTGTCACCAAACGGGCTGCGTTCAGGACACAGAACAACGGCAGGCAGGCAGGCAAAACAAATACATGTAGAGAACATAGTAACATCAGCTGTCTGGATCCCGACCACATAAGGTTCAGCATGTTGTAGCATTCAACAAACGGAGCCAGACTGGAATATATTAAACACACAGAGGGACTGAAGTCGTTTCCTGTCCTTTTGATTCAAGGAGTAAAACAGAAAGCATCGTGCTTCCCAAATCCTTGTTTAACCAAATAGTGTGGCTGTAATGATGGATTCAAATGACCTCGCTTTTTTAAAAAGTCCGTAGTCACGTCATATGTTTATACCAAAAAGACCAAATCCAGTTAATTATCCTGAAATAAGGTTGTATTCTTCAAACATTTGTCCTGATGGGGTTTTGACGCCAGGCTCCTTTAGCTAACATAGACATGGCGCCATCTACTGGGAGCACACTGAACTAGCAGGAAGCCAGTAGTGGTCTAAATCCAGACAATGATGTAATGTCTTGCATAAAACCTACAGCTCAGGGGATACAGCTTAAAGCATTGCTAAAACAAGTAGCGCTATTAGCTACTGTAGGACATGTCCTCACATGTCAATCAACTGAGCTTTAGTGAATTCCAACAGTCAGACTGTTTTCCCAGAGCAACTCTAGTTTTGTCTTGCTTGGAATAAAAAAATTGTTTGTCTCTTTTTTACTCACGATCCTTGACTTTTCTCCCATTTTTTTCCACTCGCCTTCAGCACTTTGGCTTGTTGACCAGTTGTATAAATTTGCAGTGTCGTAATACCAGTCAGGTGATGTAGTTACAATAAATATGCACAGAATGGCTTTATTTACTGAAAAAAATTAGCAAAATAAAGCCTAAAAGACAAAAATAACAGACACTCTGCAAGCAGGACGCTGTGCATGTAAACAGAGTGAATTTCAAGTGTATAAATATAAAAAAATGCAAAATTTGCACCTATAAATGTGGCAGCTCAAGGTGTGTAATTTTAGCACATTTTGGATAAATTTGCAAATGTCTTGATGTGTCCTCAGATTCTTCCTTGAATGGATTTCCCAGTCTATCACCCGCATGTACAGCAGATTAAAAAAAATAAATAAAAATAATAGAAAATGCCTTTTTTAAGTTTCAAATTCAAAAAAATTTAACAAATAAATTTTTTCTAAGACATTTCAGGAGTTAATATTAAAGTGTAAGAAGAAACAGAGGTTAAACAAACAACAGGAGTTGGTCAGTGCTTTTTAAAAAACATTTTAATTTATCTTAGTAAAGAGTAAAAATTGAACAATAGTTTCTGAATGTATTCTGAAGATAATCTAAAATATTATTTCAACTTTGCACATGAGCTATAACAATAATACCACTACAAGCGGTTTGGATCCCTAAAGCGAACAAAGGGAATGAACTGAAAAACTATTAGAATCAGTTCTGCCCTGATGGACCAAACAGAACCATTTAAATGAGCGTTTAACATTTTCAATCAAAGTAGATAGAACCAGTAAATATCCTTAAATCCTAAACAATGCAACATTACACCAACAAACAGGCCTAAAACTAACCGACCACCACAGCAGCAGGATGGGGTTATTATTAGATCTGGGCTTTGTGTAGCCATCAAGCTGCTATTTTTAAAACCGCCATTTTTCTGTTTCTTGTCCTCGACCCAGTTAAAGCATCAGAGAGCGTTCAGTCAGCAGCGCCGTCTGTGGAGAAATGCTACTCTGTAAACAACGAGCTGTGTTTCCCTCTGCTGATGGCTGCTGTGGTGGCGCTGTGGAGCCGCTGTGCATCGTTTGGTGGATGGGAATCTCTGCCTGCCCCTCTCCTCCTCTTTCTCTGTTTCAGCTGCCAGCAGCAAACTGCTGCCTTTTAGTCAATCCAGCCCCACTGATCGAGCACCATAGAGGGGGAACAACGTGGACACGTTTTGGTCCAGGAAGCACACCGTCACAAACTTCCCCAGAGCAGGCTGTAAAGCCACACATACGTACAGAAGGGGGCTCGTCGATCCAATCAGTGGCTTTAATAAGGAGATTTTTCCAGACTGTGTTTATGGTACCATGTTACACAGAAGGTTTTCTAAGATACATAAGCATCAATTAGAACCTGACAGCATTATTGACCTACTTTGTGAATTTTGCCTCAATCCCAATGAGAGACAGCTTTCTCCAGTTATTCAAAGAGTTTCTGACTGAGAAGCAGCATTTATTCCCCTGTTTCTTCCTGCTCATTGGTGAAAGAAGACATCTTGTGAAGCTGTTTAAAGTCTAGAGTTGTGTAATAAACACGCAGCCACAAACTCCTCATTATGACCACTCTCCTCCAACAGAAAGCTCTCCACGCCGCAATAATTGTTCAGCAATGCTTTTACAATCCTGGCTCCTTTTTTTTTTTTTTTTTTTTACACAATGCATTTTACGAAGCAAAAAGCATTGAGAGTTCATATGTATGGCTGTCTGACGCTGCAGTTGACTTTAAATATCACATTACCTGAGAGGGAAACATGTGACTGGATGTATATTAAAAACAAAAAATTTAACCAAGTTACTTGCAGGGTCTGTAATTAATGAATCGCAGTGAAATCACATTTTAATCGAAAACCATATACCGGCAAAAATAAAGCAACCTTTAAAAATAGAAAAACCTGTGCGCTAGTTGCAGTGTTAGCTGCAGCCCTAATTGTTATTAAAAAAAATGTAAAGACCAAGTTTGTTTATAAGCTAATGTTTCTATCCATTGAATTAATACAGTAAGTTTATTTTCTTTTTTATATATTGTACATATTTGTGTTCTTTTAAAAATATTTTCAGTACACCTCAGTAGTTTTGAAAATTTTGTTTGAGCCCTGCACGTCCTTTATAAACCTTAATACCGCAGCATCCACAGGTGAATCAACGCTATTTAGTTTGAACTTCTTATCTTGTAATGATTGATTATAATATCAAGGCTACTTTAACAGACCAAAGGATGTATTCCATCCATCCATCCATCCATCCATCCATCCATCCATCCATCCATCCATCCATCCATCTCCCTTCCACTTATCCCAAGCGGGGTGGCGAGGGGTACTGGTGCCTATCTCCAGCTGTCTACGGGTGAGAGGAGGGGTCCACCCTGGACAGGTTGCCAGTCCATCGCAGGGCAACACAGAGACAAACAGGACAAACAACCATTCACACTCACACCTAAGAAGAATTTAGAGAAACCAATTAACAGTCATGTTTTTGGACTGTGGGAGGAAGCCGGAGTACCCGGAGAGAACCCACCAATGCTCAGGGAGAACATGCAAACTCCATTTAGAAAGCTCACAGCCCAGAAATCGAACCCGGAACCTTCTTGCTGCAAGGCAGCAGTGCTATCAATTGCAGCTCTGAGCAGCCCAGAAGAAAATATTAATTTATGCCAGAGGTCTTCAACGTTTCCAAGGCCAAGGACCCGCAAGCTGATGGCGAGATGGAAGATGGAGATGGACATGCTTGCAACAAACCGGCCACAACCAAACTTGCCTGCAAACCTTCCGCCAGAAAAATCCCGCCCCCTTGATCAACGACCAATCGCATTCACTTTATTCTCTCGTGTAAAGTCGGGCAGCACTCGAGAGAATCCGGAAATACAACCGTTGGAACAGTCGTTTCCCTACGAAAGATACTAGGAACTAAAAGATCGATATTCTATCAGGCAGCCAAAAATCACGTTATATTGCCAAATTATTTTTTTTCCCCCACACCCCTACTTATAAGCCACTTGCACTTGTATTATGTATTTGGTTTCAGACGGGACCCTCTGCATGCACATGCAAACGGAGTGAGAAGTGGGTAGGGCAAGGGACTTTGTTGTACTAAAACAACCTTCCATGTTTCCACCCATTTCCATTATAGAATACTGAGCTCCAAAAGTGTAATTCCCTCAGACGTCAGCACAAAGAGATTTTTCTCTAGCTATAAATCAGTGCTGCTGTGCCGCTGCTAAATTGGGGATATTTGTGTTAAATATAAGCTTGTTTCATTCCTAATAACTCAGAGCCACCTGGTTCGTCCTGCTGCATGAATTTAATGCAAAATTACATGAAATTACATGAATTTATTGCCCCAAACTTCTGTGATGCTGCTTGTGCATCAGATTTACAAGTGTACAAGAAACAGAAGATACAAAAGGTTCCCGCTACAGATTTTAGTATGTATATAAGAAAATGCAATTAATTGTCTTAATTTTTTAACGTCTTAAAATTGATTAATGAGTCTAAATTAACATCTTAAAGTCTCGGCTCCAATAATAAATCATTTAACTTGTGGTGGAGATGACTGAAGATCACCGGTTTCTCACAGCTGTCTCACTCAGAACATGTGGGCAGAAGAAACTGCGTTAATTGAACAGGTTTCACAGATTACAGCCTTTTTTTTCAAGTTATTTTCAACGGCTTCAGTGAAACAATCTGTTCGCTGCCTGCGAGAATCTATTCTCAGTAACAGGGTGTCAAAATGCAAGGGGTGTGAGCAGCAAACAAACAGAAAGCTGAGGGAAACCAGGTGACCATAAGCAGAGCTGCTGTGAGGCGCAGGTTTCATTTTGGGATACGGGGTTAGAGATGAAGTAATCTGAGTTGGCGTCCAATCAGCTGTCAGAGCTGCTAAACTAAATACAGATGAAAACAAGACGGAAATCTGAAAATTAAATGTGTGACTAATGCAAACAGAAAGGTGTAAATTAACCCTAAACATTGCCTCACTACTATCAATCATCATCATATCACCAACTTTAACTGTTGCTAAAATTTGCAATGAGATTCAAGATGGAGTAAAATTTAACGCCTCTAAAGGAAAAAGAGAAACCAATATCTATTTAACTTTCATGTCAGGGGTTTATGACAGCTTTTAGTGTTGACTGTGGTTCAAGTAAAAAAAAAAGCCAAATGATGAAAAAAGCCAGTATATAACACCCCAATGAGCGACGGACTCCTGCAACACTTCTGGTGCAAAGCAGCCAAAAATATAAAGATTACAACTTCAGGCTAAACTGCATGAATTATTTTTTACTTTTTTGATAAATCGATTAATTATCGGATAGCCAGAGGTTCCTTAAAGAAAACCTTTTGTGAAAATAAAACAGGTGAAACTAAAACTTTTCACTTGAGGAGGCTGGATAGAGCATATTGATGGACAAAATTATTATTTTTCTTTCTTAAATGCAAACTGTTTTTTTAGAAATTCTTATTTAAAAAAAAAATCTAAACTCTATTCTGAACTTTTTGACTCACCAGCCAAGTGGAGTTGAAGTTTATATAATTTAATGGCCAAAAAAACAAAATGTGTTCTCATATTTTTAAGGAACATATTATTTCACTAAGGCACTATGTTAAATGCAAACAAAATTACAGTAGAAGGTAATTTAGCTATATTAAGTTGTAATTGAGAATTTCGTAGAATTTCTACATTTCTACAGGTGCAAATGCAAAATACATTTATTTGATCAAGTGGCCCTACATGAAACCATTCATAAAACAGCAAACTATTTTCATTTCTTATATTGTCCATAAATACATGCGTAGCCTTTCTTCTTCAAATTAAAAGATGAAAGAATGTGACTGAAGCGTTACTGTGGTCCAAAACATTTACTCACCTTGCAGTGAATGGTACTTTGGCATTAACTCGCTAAATTAAATATTTAGTGGCATTTGGCGAGTGGAGAAAAAGTTTATCCCAAAACCTTTAATCGATTATGAAATATTTCAATGTTTTATATCTAAATTGCATTTTTCTTTAAATTAAAAATGTTCTTTGCTTGAAACAATTTTGGAACAAAACTCACGTCATAGACGTGCTAACATTTGGGGTGACAGCATCCAAAATCTGATTTTTACCTGGTGCATTCTGATTTCAGGGTTATCCTGCAGCAGTTTGTCAGTTACTTTTCACTCATTAAACAATTGTTATAGGAATAGGAAACAGGAAAATAGGAATGCCACCTAGATATCAACCTGAACCTGAACCAAGCACATTGAGCCAACAACCATGGTGCTTCCTGTCTGAGCAGCTCTGTTTACCATAAACTACTTAACAGCCGAGCCTCTGGAAGCACAGATTGACCTGCTGTAAACGGAGGTTTAACGGCCGAAGCTGCTAGGATCACTCACCCCAGCAGTAAGTCTGCAGACACCGCCGCTGTGTTCAGGCAGTCAGGACTTTAAACCATGGGTTCAGAACCTGCAGCAAACAGAATCAACCATTAGTTTGGTACAAATTAACAGACGACTATGGTGACGCCAGTTTATCGTGTATGTTTCTCATAGGTAGACAGATTTTTGGAGATTTAAAACCTTAACTTTAATCAACCTCTACACAATCTGGTATCGGCAGGTTGGAGATTTAGTAAAACTGAAGATCAGAAACTTGCTGATAGGAGGAAATTTAGAAAAAAGTTTCTTAGAGGTCAGGATTGAGAACGCTGCACAGAAGCTGACCTCTCTGTAGGACACATTTGAACTGATGATGAACCTTGCTTTGGTTTTTGGGAGCTTAAAGTGAAACACAGATAACTCTATTCCCTCCAAGTTTATTATCAGAACCTGTTCCTCTTCGATGTCTAGCAACTCTAGATCCATCTCCTTGACCGTGACATCTTGCAGACAAGCCATTGTTCGTTTTTTTTGGAGGTAAACACTCCCGCCGGCGCTGCCGAAGTTCTCGCGAGTTCTCGAATAGGCTCCCCCTTGCACTTTGGCGGGAAACTGCTCTGCATCCCTAGAAATTACAGACTGATGGTGCAGAACAGGGGTGGAACGGTTCACAAAATCCACGGTTCGGTTCGGTTCACGGTTTCGTGGTCACGATTTTCGATTCGGTAGCCTATATGTTGATTGTTAGGAAAATGTATTATGTCTTGTATAGTCAGGTTAAAACTGAAAGAAAAAAGCAGTCTGACATTTGATACATCATTGTGACAGTCGTAGGTTAAAAGTAGGTGAGATTCTGACATTGCAAGAGAGGAGACAGTGCTAGTTCCATGTGTTCCATGTGTTTAATTTATTTGGCAAACAATCTTTAAAAAAGAAGCATAGGTTCTATCAAAAACAGACTTAGGTCCCTTTGTTTGAAATTTAAAAATTTTAATTAAATATAAAAGCTGCGGGGTGTTGAAGTTTTCCTGTTGACTCTTTCCCTCTCCTCCTTGCGCTGCCAACTGTCTCACAGGGATGAAGTCTCCACAGGTTAGCATGACATGTTGGTCATGTTGCTGTTAGCATAAACAAAACGTGTTGCACAATGCTTGCACACTGTTGCACTTTTATCCACAACTTTCTTTCCGTCGTCATCGTAGGTCACTCTAAATGCAAAGTGGTCCCATACAGCAGACCTATAAAGTGCTGCTGGCGCGTCTTCCAACTCCTGTTCTTTCCCACTCGCCATACCCACACAATTCTCCACAACAACTGATTTTTTTCTGCTACACCCGGCTACGCTTCTTCTTATTATTATTTACTACTGGTGGTTGGCTTTGGTCGCAGCACTGCCACCTTCTGCTCTGGAGTGTAAACGCTTCGCCTATGAGAAAAAGGAGCAGCGCATGAACCGAACGCAACACACGCGAACCGAACCGAGACAGTCTAACCGAACGGTTCGGACGGTTTTCATAAACCATTCCATCCCTAGTGCAGAAGCATACCAGCAGAACTGGTTCACGACCAGACCCAAGCGACATTTGATGTGTGCGGTTGCAGAAGTCTAATCTGCCCTTTACTCGTGATGTATCCCAACAATCAGATAACTGACCTGTAACTTATGGCCCACATATGGCACACGCTGGCATGCGTTGGGATGTACTTAAATCAACGTACTTGCAGTATGTCAACACGTGCCAGCGTATTTCAGTTTGCTCAAACTGACCCATAACTTATCCAACGTATGCCAGCGTTATTGCTAGATTTTTCATACGTCAGACATATGCTGGCTAAATCATCAAGGTGTGACAGGGGCTTTAGAACAGTGTAACAGTAGGTTATAAACTGGACCATCAGCAGCCTTTGGGCCTGTGCAGACAACACTGCACAGCTAAACGTCATTAAATGGAAAACTCTGACCTGCTGAGGCAGTGACCTGCATGTTAAAACGCTTACAGGTCCAGCAGGCAGCCATACTGAACGGAGTGGCTTCATGTCTGATGTTCCTGACACAGATCATGGCTTCATCCTGAATTTATTCTCTCTGTATTTAAAGTGTGAAACCTGTCACTTCCAGAGAGCAGGAGGACGATGATGTCCAGTTAAACTCTGGTAAAAATCACAGCTTCAGAACGAAATGCATTAAATCTTTAAGCCGAGCTCTAAAACTCTGAACATGCTGATTTTTTCCAGCCTGTTATCCTTGACCCACATTCCCTGTGTGCAGTTTTCCTTTCACTCATTTTTTCCATTCATCTTTCCCCTCCTCAGGTTACTGGCAGGGCTGCAGAAAAAAAGCCACTCGGAGAGGAACTGGGTGTGGCTCCTAATGGTGCGTTTATATCTGCAGTGTACTTGGTGGAGGACACAGCCCAGCCTGCCAGAAACGAGGTTTATAATTAGTCTAAAGCTCTGAAATACTTGGATCCAACCAAGACACCTATGAGCTCAGTCCCTCATTGGCCAATGGGATCCCACTTATTTCAGGAAAATAAACGGTATGATATTAATTGTAACAAACCCACATCTAACCAGCTTTCTCTCTTGATCCTTTGGATGTTATCCACTCAACTCAATGTTTTATCATAAAAAAATAAAGAAATTGTTAGAACTGTAAATTTAGAATTATATGTTTATATTATTTTTTATATATATATATTTATTTTTTACTATTTTTAAAGGCTGCACTTTAAAAAAATTTTTAAATTGTCCAGAGAGCTGTTCCAAACCAAATTTCTTTTTGTTTTACACTTGTTTAACAAAATGAGAAATAAATCTAAGTCTAACAAATAGATTTGGTGTAGCTAGAACCGCTCCAACTGACCAACAGCATCAGCATGAAGGCAGTTATATGGTGATCGATGAAACGTATTTTGAAAATAATGACCTTTGTAAAACTCAATCTGATAAAAAGAAAAACAAAAATTAAATCTTAAAAAAAATATTGAGTAATATTGGAAAAAATATTGGAGCATGTCTGCGTTAACTGCGACACACAAGACGACCTGGTTTCTGAGTAGGGTTGTAAATAATAATAGTTTTGTAGTGAAGCATCGATCCAACAGCTGACGATCCGATGCATCGACAAGTCCGCAAGAGAATCGATTCATGTTTTTTTTTTTTTTCTCCGGTCTATTTTTATCCATTTGCCTCTGGGCGTAATTCTCCCTCCCGTGCTGCGGTGGCGCTAAACCTATTTTGCTCTCCTACCTCGCTTCCTGGTTATACTCTTACAGCAGTGTGTTGCAGTGAGCTTGACACAGACATTTTTAAATTATGCTCAATATTGAAGCGTGGTCTGTGCTACACGCTGTGGGTCTAGATACGGCCGAGGCGGCGAGGAGGTGGGGGCGAGTTTAGTCCGACGACGGAGGGACATGAGGGCCAAAAAGAGCAGAGATCCAGGTGGAAAAAGGGTCCCAGCGTTCTCGCGCACCTCGCTTCTCTAGGGGATCAAACTTCAAGAGTTGTTTTCCGCAGTTTCGGTCATAAAACAAAACAAGCTGGCCTCCTGTCTGCAGCACTGTCTGCTGTCAGCTACAATTTGGGAGAGGAGCAGCGGAGCGTCTGTGGAGGGGGCGGGGACGTCTGGAGCAGAGGTATTGCATTGCACTGATTTTGTGCAGTATTTTTTGATGCAACTTTTCTACTTCTGTTATTTGCTGTTGTTTCTCAAAAGAAAAATGCATAACGATATTACAGCATTCCATGATTTATTTCTTGATTTATTATTATTATTATTATTGATTTATTTCCAATTTGAAACATTGTCTAGACTGTAAGGTGTTAAAAAAAAAAAAAAAAAAATTAATCGAATCGTATCGTGGTGTATTCTTGAGTATCGGAAATAATCGAATCGTTGGGTTAGGAAATCGATACTGAATCGAATCGCCATGATGGATGTGTTTTACACCTCTATTTCTGAGCATAAACCAGGCTTTAGCCAACAGTTTAGTTCATGATCGACTCTCAAACCTTTTTGTGGATCACAAGATGAAAAGTTTAAGAACCTCAGTTTCAGAAAACGGGCCGCTGAACTGATCTGGTCTACAGAACGTAAACACGTCTAGAAGGGTGTTAAAACCTGGACTGTTACAAATAAAGCTTAATCACAGCATCATTAAAATAAATATTTCTATCATTAAGAATGTTTGGAGGAATTATGTTCAGCTCCTGATTTTCTATGCATAATAAATACTCAGTCTGATATGTGTTCACCCATATCAGCTCAATCCCAAGGTTTACTGGTCACGGATTGGCTGCTTATGGCTGAGTGATATACCAGATCTATTCGATTTATGATACTTGGTGCCACCGCCACCCCCTTATAATGAGCTATTTTATAATAAATCCTGTAATCCCTCAGCCCTAGAGAAGCTTGGACAGATGTCGGCCTGGATGAAAGCTCTCAGGTTGGTAGTATTTAAAGTGTTCTGGTGTACTGCAGGCTTCTGCTACATGTAACTGATGGCAGCACTTTGTCACAGGAAAATAAAGGCCCCCACACCTTCAGAATAAAGACTTTGGTAAAACATGTAAAGCACCTGATACAGCAGACTGAATGTTTGCTCGGTTATTCTAATTATAAACCGAGTTTAAAATGAATGATAAATATCAAGCTTCGTCCTTCAGACTCCACTGCTGGTAATTTTCTGGCCCTTATAGTTAAATTAGAACTAAAACTACAGACAAACAAAAGCTCATTGTTTCTGATAAAGGTAGCACTGTAGTATTTATCAAATGTTGATGTTGAACATTGTTTTCACCGAATAATTGGTCCACTTTAACCCATTTAGGCCGGGAAAGCATTACCGCATTTCTACCATTCAAGCCGGGGGTGCTGTTGCGTCATTCTACCATTGACGCCGGGAGAGCATATAAGTCAAGCAAGAAGAAAGAAGTTTTTTTCAAGCAAACATGGAGGAGTTTGACAGAGAAGAGTTGTCGGAAGGCAGTGATTTTGAGGAGTGTGTCGGCTTTGATGACGGTATAGATGAAAATGATGACTTTGAACGCGCTGAACCAATCGAACTACCACCGCAATGC